GCCCGCCCGCAGCCGGGGGCGGTGCGGGCCTCGGGCTGCGCCGTCGGCTGGAGCCGACACGGGCTGTGGGTCGTTTGCCGGGCCCCGAACGCTCTCTTCTACGGCAGCCGTGCCCGCGAGCTCGTAAGAGGCGCCGAAATGCGAAGCCCCGCGAAGACAGCGTTACGTAAACGTGAGGTGGCAAACGGGCTCCGTGTGGCAGCCGAGCGTTTGCAGGCGGGTGCCAGCCTGGGACCTGACTCGTCGCAGCAGCCCGGCGGCCGCGGAGGCCGAGGGTTCCCCCCTGCCGCACTCAGCCTGGGGGGCCGGGAGCCCTGCGGCTCACCTCAGCCCGCGTTTGACCGGCAGGGGCTGTGTGGCAGTACATTGCGTCCGTAACAGGCTGCCCCGAGGGGTGGCTGTGCCCGCTGGGCACCCACCCCTCACGGCTGCCCGAACGCCTGCCCCGCCGGTGCCGCAGCCCACCGAGGAGCCGTCGGGCCTTGCGGGGACTGTTCTTCTGCAGCGGCCTTGTTGGGACAGCTCAAACAAATCTCGGGTGCGCAGCCTGTCCCGCTTTTTTGCGGTGCTCCCTATTACTGATGAGGCACGCGCGTGCTGTTACTGCGCCTGCTGTTCTCTGGGTGTCTTCCAATGGCTGTGGCAACCTTATCTACCCTTGTGTGCAAAACGTGCTTAATACCGGTCTAGCCATTAACCGCAGCAGTCAAACCACAAACCCCAACCAAAAGAAAGGCTCACGGTTCATTTCCAGAATTTAAAACTGTACTACAGCCAAGCAGTGGTGACATTACTTTCCTACTTTACAGGTGATGATTTTATGCAGACCTGTTTAAATATCAGAGTCTTCTTACAAGAAACACTGATGCTGGTCAGGCCAGTGCTACCCTGGTTCTTGTCTCCATACGGTAATAGTCGCTAAACTAATTTTGCCTATATTCCAAGAAACTGGGGGGGAAGGTGGGAGGGAGAGACAGGAAAAATAATTGCTTTCATTTTATGAAGGTTATCAAGAATACTTGTGGCTCGAGTTGTTCCGTGGCATCAGTTCAGCACAGTTCAGATAGCTCATCATTAGCATCCTTTTCCATTGTAAGTTTTCCTCAGAACACTTCTCCTTGTGTAGTGGGTGATCCAAGACATTCTTCTTAATTGAATTACAGAAAAATAATTATCAAACTCTTCCAAATACTGTATGCAATTACTGTGCTGCTACCAGCTCTGAGTTTTGAAAGAACCACTGCATTTCTATTTAACCAGAGTAAACATAAATGTAGCACTATCTGCCAGTCACAATTTCTCCCAACTTGCAGAGGAAAAAGTAATGTAATAGACACCCAATACTTTCTTTTACAAATAGAGCTTGTTTTTTCTTTCTCTCTCATGTTCTTCTCTTACTGATTCAAAATGAGCGTGCTGGGTGGGGTATTTTTTTCAGGAATGCATATCTCTGCACACTAAACAGTGTCTACTGTACAATTCCTCTGGGAGGTACGGAGATGCAGGCTAAACAGAAAACAAAACCATTAAAAATGTAAAATCAGTTGGAATATATTTGCTTCTCCTCCTAGAAGATGTTACCCTTATTTTGTTTGACATCATAATCCTGCTTGCTCTCTCTGGCAAGCTAGTAGAGAGCTCTCCAAAACAGTAGGATAAGAGAGGTCTGAATTTCTAACATAAACAGCAACCACGACAAAAATTATTTAACCTCCTCCCCAGTGACACACACTTTTTTAGGTCTTCCTTTTGTGATAAGCGGAAACAAAAAAGACACAAAAGCATTTTTCTTTCTCTTGTGAGACTGAATGCTGA